CTCCTGTTTGGGATTTGGAGTTTGGGGTGTGTTTCCCTTATTGGCCTCTTAATCCTGCTCCTTGAGCCTCAGGTTTCTCATCTGTGAAATGGGCTAGTATCACTCCATGAGGCCCAAGCATCACAAGCTTCATTTCAGTGCCAGGTCCTGTTAACTGGAAATAAAGTCTCAATGATAGAGTATATTGGATGAGCCAAGTGAGGATTTAAACCCAAAAGCGGTTGGGCAGATTTTTCCTCTGAGTGCTATTCCAGTAAACTTGAATTTGAATTTAATTTGTATAGGTAAGAACAGTGAGTCATTGACATTCAGAATGTAATTATTCCTCATAGGAAGGTCTTCTAGTTCTGGGGTGTCTGACCTAAAGATAAGCCTATGCTAGAGGAAGACAATGCAGGAATTAATCTCTTCCTTTCTAAAGAATGCCCTGCAGACGTGCACAGAATGGGTGCCCCTAAGCAAATCTTCTTTATCTGCCTCCTGGGTCATCAGTGGGTGTGAAAAGACTGGCTCTACCTGCGGAGCAGCAGAATTCCTGCATGTGCTACAGGATGGAGCCTGTTCATACTCTAAGTCTCTGAAGATGCCTTTGCTCTCTCACCTCCTAGGTAGGGGGAAGGGAGGCAGAAATTTTTATAATAGTTCACTGTCCAGAGGTTGGGGGGAGGTTGTCATTTATTTCCTTTAAACATTCCTATACCCAGTCAGTCAACACAACTTAATGAGAGCTTGCAGCTCACCAGGCCCAGTGTTCACTGCTCCACCCTCTGGAAGCACTTGAGCTGGTCTAGGCTGAGCTGAGAGAGGCTTGTGGCCCAGAGGAGAGGGCCTGCCCCTCCAGGGCAGCTCTGGAAGAGGTGTCAGGGCTGGGACATTAATTAAGATGGAGCAGGCTTCAGCAGGCAGAAGAGCCAGGCAGGGTGTTTGAGGAGCCTTGGGGGAGAGGCGGATGAATCCAGGGCCCGTCTCTCCCCAGACGGGAAGACTTCCATCTTCTAGGCAAGCACTATTTGAGCATCTGCAGGTGGCAAAGAAAGAGTCACAGAGAGCAAAGAAACCCCAGACAGGGGCCAGCAAACCTGTGGTTGACCACATGGTACCCTCCTCCCTCCACCTCCACTTTTCGGCCCCAACTTCAGTGTCATGCCCTCTAATTATCCACCTTTCCACAGTTATTCTGTTACGAACAAGTCTCTCCAAAGCTCGCTGTGCTCCCAAGAGCTGGTCAAAAGGTCTTGGGATGAAGCAGCACTTTTGACATCTGGGATCAGCTCGTTTTCGGTGGCGGGGGCTTCCCTGTGCTTTGTGCCTCACTATCTGCTAGATGCAGGTAGCACCCCCCACCCCAAATATCTCTAGATGTCCTCTGGCAAGCCTCCCCTCCACATCTTGCCCGTCCCCATGCCCCCAGCACCTGCGTGCTCAGCCAGTGATGCTCAGCACATCTTGGCTGCGTGAACGATGAATCTCTGTTCATTTTCTTAATGGACAAATTAATGTATAGAATGTGTGTGCACATGTGAAGTAGAAGCCTGCTTTTCTTAGTCGGGCTACCTGAGAATCACCTGGAGAAAACTCTTGAGAAGCCACATTCCCTAGTTTCAACCCTAGAGTGGAGTGTAGTCTGATGGGGTGCAACCTGGAATATGAATTGTGGTTTTCTTTGTACTAATTTTTATTGAGGTGACTTTGGTTTACAAGGCTGTATAGGATTCAGAGAGGTGTATGTTCACACCTCTTCAAATGTATGCTACCACACTACACCCACCACTGAACCCTCACAACCTTCCACCAGAGCCTGCTGGTTCCCCTCCGCCCTGTGTCTCTCACCCCCATCGACCCCCTCTGGTAGCTTCCATTCCTCAGTCAGATCTCTGGCATTTGTTTGGTGTAATATTATCGGTTCCTTTGTTTTGTTTCTCTATAGTCCACATTTATGTAACCATCTGGTATTCGTCTTCTTCTGACTTATTTCTTTGAGCATATGGAGTCTGTATTGTTAAGAGGGCATCATGGCTTCCTCAGAAGGCGAACACACAATTACTGTCTGACCCAGCAATTCTGCTCCAAGACATTAACCCAAAAGAATTTCAAGCAGGGACTGAGATACCCATAGACCAGTATCACAATAACCAAAAAGTGCCCATCAGCACATGGATGGATATACAAAGCGTGGCCTGTCCTCACGGTGGAATATTATTCAGTCTTAAAAATGGAGTGAAATCTGACACCTGCTATGACATGAGTGGACCTTGAAGACCTCCTGCTAACTAAAGTGAAATAAGCCAATCACAGAGGACACATACTAAGCGGTTTTATTTATATGAAATCGAATTCATAGACACAGGCGTGAATGGTGGCTGCCAGGGGTGGAGGGGAGGGGGAGGTGGGGAGTTATTCTTAGCGGGGACGGCGTTGGCGAGGTGTTCTGGAGTGGATGGCTGCACGCCAGTGTGAATGTACTGAATGCCACTGGGCTGTAGACCGAGAAATGGCTAAAATGGTCAGTTTGTGTTATCTACAATTTTATATACACACTCCCCCCACCGCTGGCAGATGTGGGAAACCACAGTGGGAGGGGAGGTGTTCTCAAGAGTCCTGTGACCCTTTGAGGCCTGGTGGCTGGTGAGTGGCTGAGATGGGAGCCGCTGACTTTGCCACCGAAGGTCTTAGACTGATTCATCGAGAGGAGGCCCTTCTCTGGGCATGCGCGTGCTAGCCCATGCAGGGCCCGACAGGCCACCTGAGTGGCGGCCACATCGCCTGTCCATGGGGAGTTGCCAGCAGCTGTGGATGATTCTTGCCTGTGTACGCCTGGTTCCGGGAGAGAAATCTGAAATCTGGATTTGCATGTGCAATCTCCTAATGCCTGAATATTCACTGAGCAAGCAAACCCCAGTACGTGTGTCAAGCAGATCAACTCTGTAGGCCTCGGCTCTGGGGTGGCGTCTTTGCATGGAGCTCCCCGTTTGGGCTGCTCCCCCCGTTTGGATCCCTTCCGAGGCCTGACACCAGCTTTCCCTTCCATCCCGGAGATTTCCCTGGCTTTCAGCGCACCCCAATGAGGTTTACAGACAGGAGAGTGGGTGCCTCGCTTGGCTCTGCCATTCACTAGCTGTAGGGCCCTGTGGGGCTGTAGGCAATTTGCTGCTTTCCTCCCCCTGCCTCAGTTTCTTTTTCTATCAAGTAGGAACAGTAGGAGTTCTTTCTGGTAGAGTTCCAGTAAGGACTGTAGAAGAGTGCACAGGAAGGGGTTGACCCGGGGCAGGGCCTGCAGAGCGCTCTGGGCTCTGCAGTGCATGCATGTGTGTGTGTGCATGTATGTGTGTGTGTGTGTGTGTGTGTGCGCTTGAGTGTCGGCCCCAGCTGGAGCAAAGAGCTAATGTGGAGTCAGCCGGGGCGCGGGCTGGAGACTTACGCAAGATCAGATGTCTGTTTCATCAACTGTGATGTGGGCCCAGGGATGTCTCCCTCCGAGTCATTCTAAGGATTAAACAGGACATCATTCAAACGGGGCCAAGTCACAGCACGTGTCCCGTACACGCTCGTTCCGCTGTGATGCCTTGTGGAGTCGTGGGTCAGGGCAGGCTGGCGGGATTGAAGACGAGATGTGCACAGTGGAGAGGTGGATCCTTCCGGCTCTCCCCCAGCAGCCCCCTCCCACTTCTTTGCTCTCAGGGTGGGCCCCGACCCCTCCTCCCAAGCTGACTCACTGGCTGATCAGGAAGGCAACCTCATCTTGGCAGAGGGCAGCATGGAGACTAGCTCCTTAGGAGCCCCAGGTGGGGCCTGGCCTGACCCCATCCGAAGGATTGCTTACCCTCCTGGAGCAGGGACCAACCTGGGGTGCCAAGGCTCCTCCGAGACCCCGCGTCTCTTTTACTGGGCCCCAGACTTTGCAGGGCCTTGGGGGGATTGAGCACATGAAGGAGAGTAAAATGTCCTCAAATCCCCAGTCACTGAGGAGCCTATTGGGCTAAGAGACCTTTGGTGAGCGACCGACAGGTGCTGTCTCAGGACCACTACGGGGGCCGAGGGTGGGTGACAGCATGTCTGCTTTGGGGATTCTGGCCACGCCACATAGGTGCCTGAGGCCCAAGCCCTGAAGGCTGGTGAGCCTGGGGACACCTAGGGCAGAGCCTTCCAGAGCATCCCAATGTCTGTGCACTGGGGAACAGACATGTGCCGGGCCCATGCGCCCCTCTGCATGTTCACACGTTCACTACCCAGATGCGCTCAGCACAGGTGCACACTCACCACGTGTGCGTGCCTGTTTCGTGTGGGCGTCCATTGGGTGCGTGTTCGTGGCACGTCGGGTTCATTGTGTGTGTGTGTGTGTGTGTGTGTGTGTGTGTGTGTCCCTAGTGTGTGCATGCTCACCACGTGTGTACACTGCAGAGGACGGGAGGTGGGCGGGGCGCTTCAGGGGGCCATCCAGCTTGAGAAACGTCCTCTGAGACCCTGGGGCCTGTGACGAGCGAGCAGGAGCCTCTGCTTGGGGAAGGGGACTTGCCACAGAAATGAAGATGAAGTGAGGCGACCAGGGGGCCGCAGTTCACTCGCTGTGGACCGCTGGAGGGTTCCAGGTCTGCAGGGACTACTAAGTCCAGCAGGCCCGGCTCCTGTGGTTGGAGCTTATGGTCTAGTAGGGGTGCAGATAGCCGGCTTGCAGCAGGCTGAGCAGCACTGGGAGATGTCCAGGAAGAACAGGGCCTGGTGTGGGGAGGCCGAGGCGACTCCCACTGCTGCAGCTGGGAGGGGGCAGCCCAGCCCAGCCCACCACACAGGGAGAACACACAGGCTTGATGCCAGCCGGGAGGGAGTACGTATGTCTGGTGGGGTTTAGGGTGCGTCACTGACTTGACCTCAAGTCTCCCGCCCTCCCCCTGGCTGTCTCACAGCCCCGGGAGCTGGTGGACAGACTCACTGGGGTGGGACCCGGCTCTGGAGCCTGGGGCAGCACCAGCATCAGCCCGACATGTTTTTCCCCATCTCTGCAGGGGGCGGAGGGAAGCGCAAAGGCAAAAGCAAGAAGTGGAAGGAAATCCTGAAGTTCCCACACATTAGCCAGTGTGAAGACCTCCGAAGGACCATCGGTAAGCCTTCCTGTCTCGAGGGGTTGCGGGGAAGGGGCCTGATAACCACCGCCATCTGTAGGGGGAGTCACATTCAAATCAATTAATGCGGTGAAGTGATTCCAGGGAGGAACTGTGGGCCCCCATCTTCGTTCATTGACATGAAGATGCCGTGAATACTCATGACCCCAAGTCCTAATGGACAAAAAGACCCTCCTCAAAGAAAAGTCCTTTCTCTCTGGCCAAAGGCTTGGGAAAGGGGCAGCTGAGCTCAGCTGGGAAGGTGTTGGCACAGTGGGCACAGCAGGCACCGTGGACAGCCACGCCAGTGCCGTGGCCCACGAGCCGGGTGCCTCACCTTGGCTGTCTTGCCTCGCCTGGTCCCACATTCAAAGACCCAGTGGCCTCGCTCTCCACTTCTCTCTGACTCACATGCTTTGGAGGACTTGGTGTCCCCCGCCCCTCCTTCTAGCCTGGACGCCCAGATGCCCCTCTCTCTGTGAGGATCCCCAGCACTGCCCCAGAAGCACCCCGAACGCCTCTCACTTTGCAGCTGAGCTGGCCCCACTCTCTTCGCTTTTGACTGGGAGGACCCAGGAGCTTAGGATTCGCTTCCGAGCATTTCTGTCCATAGACCCCACCCTAAGGGCCCATCCCCGCCTGTCCCCCTAGGTCCATGAACGGGCCTCTTGGCAGGCCCCGCTCCCCTGGGAGGGTGTGAGAAACGTGCGTGCTGGCGTGTGAAAATGAATTCTTCTGTTCTCCTAGAGGGCATTGAAAAGACTCTGTGTGTGAGTGCAGTGTGCAGGGCGGCCTGGGGAAACAGGAAGGCCGCCATAAACCGAGGGGCTGCAGCTCGTGGCGACGGGCCCCAGGACCGGCTTCCCGCCTGTTTACAGTCCGTCGCCCTGGTGTTTGCCCAACCTCTGCTGGGGTCCTGCTGGACGGCTCTCTTAAATAAAAATCCCATTTCTTTTCTAGACCAATACACAAACTAAACAGTGGCAAATGCCACATTTATTTTTCTTGTGGACCCATGAGCTCACTTTCTGAAGCTCTTTGGGAAGATGCCCCGGGCAGGCTTCCACTTAAGGTGACCGGCCCCACTGGGCTGAGGGTGGCGTGGGGCGGTGTTGGCGGAGGGCAGAGGGAAGGGCGTTGTCCAGACTAAGTGCGACTCGCAGGTCTGCGGCAGCGGTCCAGGAAAGGACTGTGGTCTCTGTCGTCGGCGAGTGCCCGGCACTGCTCACCTGACTGTGGGCTCTTCTTGCCCACGTTCATGATGGGAGCGAGCGCTTGTTTTCAGTTAGAGGCTGGTGAAAAGAGAGGTCATTTTTCTCTATGCTAGTCTTTGGACCCCCTAAACGCTGTCCATGGACGTATCTCCGTGACCGGCCCCCACCTTAGCTGGCAGCTTCCCTCCTCCTCCGCTCGCACGCTGCACCATCGCCCTCCTGTCCTTGTCTCCAGCCTGGCACGCATGCAGCTGCTGTTCCCGCCGCCTGCAGTGCTCCTGCCCACACTTATTCCCAAGACCCTTGAAGGCTCAGCTCTGCTATCTCCTGCATGGAGAAGCCTCTAGAAGGGAGCTCTCCCCCTCATGGCTCTCTTTCACATAGTGCAGTTCATCAGTGCTTTGCGCTTGTGATTCCACCAAAGATCATCTCTTAGTGAGTTGTTGACGTGTGACTTTTCAGTCTCTCCCAGGGTACTCATGTCCCGTGACAGTGGTGACTGTGTCTTGCCCACTCACTGCTAGAATGGCACCTGGTCTGTAATAGGGACTCACGGTGTGAATGAAAACATGATGGGGTGAAATACCTGCTATACCCGAATGTAGTCTGTAGCCCATGGTTCAAACTTGAAGTCATAAAAGTGTAGACTCAGGAGGCACCATGGAAAGCATCTGCTGGAGTAGCCCCTTCCAGGTCTTTTGTAGAGAGATGAGGAAACTTAGCACAGTCCAAGACCTGACATATTCCCTACCTCCTCACTGGGCTGCTGGCCCGGGCTGGTTCCCTCTGGGGCCTCATCTTGAGTCATCTCACAGTGATGCTAGGTTTTTCTCAGAATCCTCATCTTGAACTGGAGAGTGTCTTGTCCAACCACCCATTTCAGACCTGAGTAAACAGACTCCATCATGACCTGCCTGGCACTGTCCAGATTCCTAGTCCTGAGCTAGTTTTCCGCTCTCCAGATTCCTGCTGACTCATATACGTTTTGGACATCGATCCGCAGCCACTACTCAAAGCAGAGAAACTATTAGGCACCAAAGGGATAGATGTTCTGTCCCTTTCTCTCTTTATTTGATCTTATAAGTATTTGCACATTCATTGGTTTGCTCAACAAGTGCTTATTGAACAGTTATTATATCTACTCAGTGGGAAGAAAAACCTGATTCTTGCCTCCAACCTTCCCCCAAGGCTCAGCATGACTTTTTCTGGGAGAACGACCAAAAGAAAGAGGTGATAGCAAATTAAGAAATTTCTGTGATGAAGGAAAGGTTGCTGATCCGGAGAACAGGACCAGGGGTCTCCACACCCCAGGAACATCCTGGAGGAAGTGGCTTCACTTTCAGCCTTCCCGGGCAGTTCTTTGTTTGAGCTCCCTGGGGACAGGGAGAACTTCCTGTCCCTCTTGGAATTTCCATTGCTGGTACATTGAGTGGATGAATGGGCGGATGGACAGATGGACAGATGGTTGGGTAGACGGATGAGTGGGTGGGTAGATGGATGGATAGATGGGTGGGTGGATAAATAAATGGGTGGGTGGGTGGGTAGATGGATAATGTGGCTGAATAGATGTTTCCTTTCTTCTTTACCGACTAGAAACCAGAATTGTGATTGGCATTGATTCAAACAGATTCCTTGACATACGTGCCTGCTTCCAGTGTGACCCAGACGTGAATAACTGATTTTACACAGTCCTGATAGAGGCCAGACAGGACAGTGAGAGGAGGAAGGGCTTCGCTAGTGTTTGCTCCATGAAACACCAAATAATGATATTAGTTAATAAGCTAATTGTTCACATAAGATCATTAGCAGACCCAAATCAAAGACATTCTCAGAAAGTCCAAAACTTGGAAGGCTGTAACGTCATTGTGAAGATAAAAGATTGTTGAGGTCTGCAAATATTTCTCAGTGACGCAGAAAGTTCTGTTGGGGGAAAGTGTGGCATTTTTATTTATTTAGCTTAGGCTCATTGCATCCTTTATTCTTTCATTAGGGAAAAAAAAAGTATAAGGGGGCTCGAGTGAAAGAGTTGATTATTCCACTGTTTGGCAATATTTCTGTAGGAACTGTCCAAAAGCTATATAATAAATCAAGCCCCCTCCCACCCCCTGGTGGGACTGACATTTATGAGGAGGCTGTTCACAGAAAGTAGCTGCCACGATGCCCTGTCCCCTCACGGCCGATGGGATGGGGTGGATTTTAGGGGAGATCTCATTTGTCTTGTGGGAGAGCCTCTTGCCAAAGCCTTAACTCTTCCCAGGAGCAGAAGTTCTAGGCTGCGGGGCATTCCTAGAAGAAAATGTAGAATCTAAAATTAAAAAAACAAACCCAAACACTATAGTAGTGTGACGCCCGCCTTGAACTAGCCCAGTACTTGATTCAGCATTGCTCGTGCTTTAAACAAGAAGTCCGCCTACGACTGAGCCTGCTCTGTGCCGGCACTGTGGCTCTCGGCCACGGAGGCAGCTCGTGCTCGTGGAAGCATCTTTGTTGTCGGCATTCAGGTCAGATGGGGATTCTGTTGCTCCCAGCTGTGTGATATTGGGCAAGTTGCTTAATTTCTCTGGGTTGCAGTTTGTTTATTAAATGGGGACACTAACAGCAGCCTGGTAGAAGCCTTGAGGGCTGGGCTGCAGAGTGCCCAGCACATGCTATGGATATCGTGGTCATCATCATAGTTTTGGGGGTTTGAGGACAGAGCCAGAAGGCCCTTTGGAGGACTTCTGTTTCCCAAGTCAGCTGAATTGACTGCTAAGGATGAATAGGGCCAGCTGTTTGTGTGCCGATGACATCACGTGGGTTGAGTCCCCAGGGACCTGTCCTTGAGCCCCAACCTCCACTTCCTGGACACCCACCCAGATTCCTTCCCTCAGCTCCATGGCAGGCCCAGGGACTCCTATAATGTCAACTGAGACTCCTGCCCTGGTGAGGGTCCTTGCAAGAACATATGGGTGATTTGGAAGTTGGCACCCCAGAGTCCTAAGAGAAGCTACCCTGGGAAAGCGTGGAGGTCATGGGGAACATTAGCTTTATCTGTCAAGGGATATGAATATATTATTTGCATCATTGAAAGCGGAGTGAATGAAGTCTGGTCCTTTGCTTGATTCTCCAGTGCGGCAGCGGGGCGGTGAGGCCTTTTCACCTTTCCTTGTTAATTTTGTGTCCCCTGGTGAGTGCAGGCTCTGAGTGGCAGGTGAGAGCCTCGCCATCTTTGCAGGTGCTGCAGGATGTGACTGAGGGGCTCCTGCTGGTTCTGTGGAGACCTAGCAGGAAGGAACCAGCCCTTAGCCTTCAGCAGGTGGTATCTTTCTGCTGGGGTTGGGGGGCGGGGTGAAAGCCAAGGCCTGGGATTAGCTCAGACTGTGTCTGCACCCTGTCCTTGGGGTCTCCCCCTGGGCCACTCAGGCTCTGCTCTCTGTCTGGCCTACAGTGGTCTCCTGCCTGGGGCTTGATGAGTGTTTTCTTCCTTTTCCCCTGTGGCCTGGGGCACCCTCCCCCTACAGGTGACAGGCTGCAAACAGCCTCCCTGACTGCCTCCTGCGCCTCACGGGCTGTGGGTCCCCTGGCTGCCAGCACACACCAGGGTCTGGGAAGGCATTGGGCTGCCGGGACAGGTCCCACCCCAGGCCCACACGGCCTGGCCCCTTGAAGTCTGCCAGGCTGGCACGTGAACTCTTGATTTCATTGTCAGGGAAACCAAGTCTTTTGTGGACGTCATTCCTGTCCTTGGGGTGATAAGGGCGCGTCACGACTGTCGTTCTGCCACTTACTGCGCTCTGATGAGGCACA